TTTTATGCACATTTACCACACATTTTTTACACGTATAATTGTATGTATTTTACTTTATATATTCTTTCAGTTCTAACGATGAACCGCATAACCCGCCGCGTATCATGTGCAAGAGGTTACCGCTGACATCTACATCGTTCAAATACATAGATATTGGGATCAGAGTAGTACCTCGTGCATCCTACGTAGAAATAATTCTCGGCGATAATCAAGGACATCAGATGGAATTAGATCAATCAATTTGGAAAGAATACAGAAAAATCAATCAAAAAAAGAGCAGCTGCTAAAGGCAAGAGATGCGTCATCATCATCATCAGCGGTACAGCTTAATCATTTAGCTATAGAACTAGTTAGAATGCGCCACGGAAATATTGTAAAAGTAACATCAAATAATACTTCTATGTACATGAAACCATCAACCATATCATTTTTATTTGAACTGGAACACTGTGTAGACCGCATATATTTTCAACTGTATGAAGATCTAGAAACTGTACATGAAAGCTTCGAAGAACTCGTTGTGCATGTACAAGATATGTGGATGAGTGGCGAAAAAAAATGTGATACACCGAACGATGCAGTTAGAATCCTACACGAAAAGTACTATAAAAATTCAAGTGAAAATTGTGAATTTATTTCGATCGTAAAGTGCGAATTAATGGCTTATGCCGTAAAAGAAATTCTTGCCGAAGCCCATAGTCGGGGTGATGTATTTTGATAAACTGAGATAATAAATCGAGATAATAAAATGAGATTAAAATTTTTGAATGACATACATTTTCTTCCACTTCCAATCCATTCTATTTTGCCTTCCCAAGTAGTTAGTAAGAAAAAGAAAAACGACAACATAGGGCTATATGCGAGGAATAGGATGCGAGCGGGGAGAGAAGGAAATACGAGCGGAGAAAAAATAGACATCGTTTCAATATATAATATATATTTATTTTGCTTACAACAATTGAATACACTTCTTAACACATGTTGTTACATATTTTTATGGTTAGACCACCACTTGTAAAGTTTAAAAACATTTTGTAAAGCGCAATTTGTTACATGTTTCTGGCAGTGAAAAGTATGTGTAACATCCAATTTATTTAGAGATGGTATGTCCTCGTAGTCTACATCAATAGTTTCAATATAGACATCTCCTCTCGCGTCATCCAAGAGCATATCCTTCAGCCATTCTCGTTTTTCGTGTCCCTTGACGTAGACGAGAAACGGTGTCTCAAGATCGTCATCATCTTCCATGCCGACCACAGCCGTTGTAATCAGACTTCTAGCTCTGCTGTATGGAATTATTCCGTCTTCCCATCGTACTCCATGACGATTTGCAATCAACCAGGATGCCTGATGCTGCTCCGCTTTGGTGAGAAGCCTCCATGGTACGGGACATGTGAAAATGTAGTGAGAGAGAACGCGTCCCTCTCGCAGAGCGGCAAATTCCTTCACAACAAAGTTACCGCTGACGACGAAGCCTTGCAGGTCCACAAACGTCGGTATGGGCATGATTGAACACGTCGAGAGAAGGAGGAATACTGCGGTTGCTCTTGATGCATAGTAGATTTTTAAATCGTTTCATCCCCTCTAAACTGTATTGGAAAGAGGGAAACCATTGTGTCCAAAATGTAGTACTTAGGGAATTTTGCGCACGACGCTGGTCAGCGGATTGTACTGAACCACACGATCATGTATGATGAGACAGTACGCAGTGGTATTCACTGGCACATTCTCCTTAGACTCAAATTCCAATCTCACGTCCACAGTCGCGCTCTTGACTGACTCGTTTTGTCGGGAGCAATCGATAATGACAAACGGTCCTTGTTCGAGAAAATTGTTGGTAGTGAGACCAGGCATAAGAACCTCGTTTCCGAAATAGCTCTTCCGGAACCGCGAATACGCATCATACTGACTCGACCATTTGTTTTTATCGAAATCCAGATTCATATCATCGTATGGATAACATTCCGAATTCAGATAGAGTTTCACGTTGCTTAATTTGCAGTGACTGAATTGGCTCACATTCTGTGACATGACATTCTTCCGACCTGTTTGCAGAGCAAAGATAAGATACCGCGGCTTCTCGAGCTGAGTAGCCGTTTTAATAGCCCATGAATGTTTAGTCGTCTGTTGCAATAGAGGATACTCGTACAGATCCCATGAACGAAATCCCATATTGAGGTATTGTCCGCTTTCCAAAGCACGCAGCATCGACAGTTTGTTCACCTCGTTAAACAACACATGCGGCATGCGCCACTGTATCTTGAATATTACAAGTTTAGGCTCCATCGCTGCATTTCTAAAGAGACAGTTGTTATCATTGCGTGATCGTATTAAAATCAATTCGTGACGGGCGTTAATCACCACGCGTTGATAATCTTCACAGAATCCCAATAGCATGCTGAGCGGCACACAAAAATTAAAGTCTCCGGTTCCATTGTTCACCACATCCCAGCCGGCATTCTTCAGAGACATCATTTTATCGAACGATGACGAGACATAGGTCTTGAGCGTGCTGGTTATTCCAACATTTCTGGCGCGATCAATCTCCACACCATCAAGTTCATATCGGATCTCGTCGAACATGAACGCGACACAATTATTTCCCAGTACTACATCAGATCCTTCGATTTGATTGGCAGTAGTTAGTTTTCCCTCGATGTACAGAAAACTTTCATGCGGCAACGTATAGAGATCCTGTTGTTGTATTGGTGTTCTTATCTCATCGCTGTGCCCGAATGTAGTGTTGGCAAACGGATTGTACGAGTGAGTCTCAATCTTGACGATGCGCTCGTCGAAGATTGGCTCTTCGTTGATATTGAGAATGTCAATCATTGTTTGCGCACTGCGAATCCCAAAGAGGTTAAAAATTCCACGTTCAATGCGTTGAGTTTCTTCTTCTTGCAACAACTAGACGACTGGATATCACCGAATCTCGATGTCGCAGGCTTGGTGGTATCTTTTATAATTTGCTCCGATCCGTTCAGCACGAGCATCTCATGCATACTCGCGCACGTTATCGCTGTCGTCGGCGTACGTGCAATCTGAGGGTGATTTCTTCTCCGCGAAAGTCGAGCAATTGACTGTTCTGATCCACAACGCGTACCGTTAAATCGGTAATGCTCCATGC